TAACCATGGACTTTATTTGAGCCTATGAGTGTCAAGTGGCACACTGATTTTTTTTTGGGGGGGGGGTGGATCATTTATTTTTTATTATACTTTAAATTCTTGGGTACATGTGCAGAACGTGCAGGTTTGTTACATAGGTATACACATGCCATGGTGGTTTGCTACATCTGTCACCCTGTCATCTACATTAGGTATTTATCCTAATGCAATCCCTCCCCAATCCCCCCACCCCCTGCTATCCCTCCCCTAGCCCCCCACTCCCTGACAGGCTGTGGTGTGTGATATTCCCCTCCCTGTGTCCATGTGTGCTCATTGCTCAACACCCACCTATGAGTGAGAACATGCAGTGTTTGTTTTTTTGTTGTTCTTGTGTCAGTTCACTGAGAATGATGGTTTCCAGCTTCATCTATGTCCCTGCAAAGGACATGAACCCATCCTTTTTTATGAATGTATAGTATTCCATGGTGTATACGTGCCACATTTTCTTCATCCAATCTATCACTGATGGGCATTTGGGTTGGTTTCAAGCCTTTGCTATTGTGAACAGTGCTGCCATAAACATATCTGTGTGTGTGTCTTTATAATAGAATGATTTATAATCCTTTGGGCGTATACCTAGTAATGGGATTGCTGGGTCAAATGTTATTTCTATTTCTAGATCCTTGAGGATCGCCACACTGTCTTCCATGATGGTTGAACTAATTTACACTCCCACCAACAGTGTAAAAGTGTTCCTATTTCTCCACATCCTCTGCAGCATCTGTTGTCTCCTGATTTTTTAATGATGCCATTCTAACTGGCATGAGATGGTATCTCAATGTGCTTTTGATTTGCATTTCTCTAATGACCGCTGATGATGAGCTTTTTTTCATATGTTTGTTGGCTGCATAAATGTCTTCTTTTGAAAAGTGTCTGTTCATATCCTTTGCTCACTTTTTGATGGGGTTGTTTATTTTTTTCTTGTAAATTTGTTTTAGTTCTTTGTAGATTCTGTATATTGGCCCTTTGTCAGATGGGTAGATTGCAAAATTTTTTCCCATTCTGTTAGTTGCCAGTTCACTCTAATGATAGTTTCTTTTGCTGTACAGAAGCTCTTAAGTTTAATTAGATCCCATTTGTCTAATTTGGCTTTGTTGCCATTGCTTTTGGTGTTTTAGTCATGAAGTTCTTGCCCATGACTATGTCCTGAATGGTACTGCCTATGTTTTCTTACAGGGTTTGTATGGTGTTGGGTCTTATGTTTAAATCTTTAATCCATCTGGAGTTAACTTTTGTATAAGGCATAAGGAAGGCATCCAGTTTCAGCTTTCTGCATATGGCTAGCCAGCTTTTCCAACACCATTTATTAAATAGGGGATCCTTTCTCCATTGCTTGTTTTTGTCAGGTTTGTCAAAGATCAGATGTGTGGCATTATTTCTGAGGCCTCTGTTCTGTTGCATTGGTCTGTATCTCTGTTTTGGTACCAGTACCATGCTGTTTTGATTACTGTAGCCTTGTAGTACAGTTTGAAGTCAGGTAGTGTGATGGCTCCAGCTTTGTTTTTTGTTTTGTTTTGGTTTTTTTGTTTTTTGCTTAGGATTGTCTTGGCTATGTAGGCTCTTTTTTGGTTCCATATGAAGTTTGGCATGCTGATTTTTAAAAGAATGTGGCTAACTGTGCACTGGCCTTTAACACCAAGGTCCATTTGTGTATACATAGATATGTTCATCCAACTATGCCTAGAGCTAGATAAGGGAATATTCACTTGGAAAATATAAAGACTAACAATTAAAAGTAAATGTTAGATAGTTCCTACATTTGCGGGCATTATAGAAAGTGTAGCCAGAAGTGAGAAGAGTGGATTCTCCTCTCTCTTTTCCTGGTTAATAATCTTTCATTTTATGTTCATCTTGAGTTGACTTATAAATGTGCTACACAATGTTGGATTTTGGATCACTCCTGAAAGATTTTCAAATTAGTGACTCTCTTTTCAAACAAAACTTCTAATATTGAGAACAACTCAATCTACTCATTGGATAGACTGACCCTAAGAAGTGTATTTTGCTCAGAGTCCTTACTAAATGCAGAAGTCAAAAGATTGTCATAGAAGTATAAGGACTTTTAATCAAGTCACCACCGCTATGTAATGGCATGTACAATAAGCTCATACAATAGGCTGCATGTGGTTGGGAACATTGCTGAGACAACAGAAATCCCTAATGCCATACTGGGAAAGGGAAAACTTCAGAAAGCAATGGGGCTGTCACATGTCCCTATTACTGTATGTGCATGAAGGTTGACGCCAAGGAGAATATGCAAAGTAATTCCCAGCTGAATTTACTTTTTTGTATGGAATTAATTCACTGTGTCTTCACTTTGGCAGGTGTATACACAGTAATATTTGTTAAAATATCCAGACCCAGGAGCTTTAAGGGGTCCTCCTAGAGTTTTTGCTGAGTGACTTTAAAGACCCTTTTTCTTCTATGTGCTCATATTACAGAGGTTAAGCCCATCTTCCAGGACTTTGCTAGTAATAGTAAGAGACTATTAACATAGTATGAAACTCTGCTGAAATAAAGTCCCCTTCTGAGAGATACCATAACCAGAAAGTAATGGATATAGGGCAAATTTGTAACAGCAGGTAATCAAAAAGTCAGATGTCTGGGACTGCGTATAGTGTCTGTACTTACATTCAAATGGCTTCCTTGATATCTGTAAATTCTGCTAAATTGCCATGTCCAATAATTTTGATAATGGAGGAGGGAGTTGTCACAGTCTTCTCTGGCTCACTCTCTCATGCACAGCTGGGGGCAGCTGAATTAAACCTCCTCCAGTGTTCTCTAAGCCCTAATCCCCCAAGCACAGACTCTGCAGAACCAACTTTCCCCTGCTATCCAGATCCATCCAATTACATCTCAACTCCCACTAACCCCTTTGTCCATTATCTTGATCATATATGATTGGTTTATTCCACCCCATTTATCATCCATGTTCTGTCCTTTAGTGCCTTAAGCCTAGGTTATTGCATGGGCCCTTTCTCTCTCCAGTATCTCTCTTCTCCACCCTAACCCACCCACCATGACCAGACCAATAACCCTAAAGCAGTGCCTTCATCATGATACTGCAATCAAAACTTTACACCTACAAGATGAAGCCTGAAACCCTGTGCCTGATATTTTAGGTCCTCCATCATCTGGCACAACTATTCCTCTACATAAATCTTTTTCTCTAACTCCCTCCCCAGACTGCCTTAAGCATACCAGGAGCACGCTGGCTTAGTGTCTTTGTTCATACCACAGCCATGACATATTCTTCCTGCTGGGGCAAGCACCAAAGACTAGCTGGCCTAGGACTTGGAATTAGAAATAGGTGAGGCAGGAATGGAGACAGGTTTCTTTGGATAGATTTGAAAGTGTGAGCTTTTACACATCTGAATAAAATTTTTTTCTCATGAAACGTCTTATACCCCCAAGGTATGAGACTCAGGAGATATATCTATTCAGCTTATGACCTTTAGGAATATAATCAATATTATATAAAATTGAATTCAAAATGTCATGGAACTTTTTGTTCTTTGATATAGAGCTTCAGTTTTGCAAGATGAAAAAGTTCTGGGCTGGGAGTGGTGGCTTACACCTGTAATCTCAACACTTTGGGAGGCCAAGGCAGGTGGACTGCTTGAGGGCAGGAGTTTAGGACCAGCTCAGGCAACGTGGCTGTTAGTTAACAGTGGCAAGTATCCAAGCCACAGGTCTGCAAAGTGTGTTACTGGCAGAACATATCAGTATCCGTTCAGGTCTACAGCAACCTCAATTATTGCCTCCTCAGAAGGAAGAATTAGACTGAGGAGCATAAGGCAGGAGAGATCAAGGCAAGTTTTAGAGCAGGAGTGAAGGCTTATGATAAAGCTTTAGAGTAATAAGGAAAGAAAGTATACTTGGAAGAGGGCCAAGCAGGTGGCTTGAAAGGCAAGTGCACGGTTTGAACTTTTGACTTGTGGTTTTATGCATTGGCATACTTACGGGCTCTTCCATCCCTTCTCCTAACTCCTAAGATCTTATTGGGAAGTGGCTGATCACCAGTTTCAGGTGTTTTCTATCTATTAGAGGACGGCCTTTCCCTGGTGCCAGCTGTGACCCAGTATTACTTTAGAGAGACAGTTAACTGCCTGACCACCTGATGATCACCCAACACTCCTGGTTTGTATGAGGTGGGGGCCCTCTCCCACCCTGCTCATACCAGACTAGCTACCCACTGTAACATAGTGGGACCATGTTACACACACACACACACACACACACACACAAGCCTGGCATGGTGGTGTGTGCCTGTAATCCCAGCTACTAGGGAGGCTGAGGCAGGAGGATCACTTGAGCCCAGGAGATTGACGCAGTGAGCTATGATTGTGCCACTGCACTCTGGCCTAGATGACAGAGTGACAGCCTGTCTCAAAAAAAAAAAAAAAAAAAAAAGTTATTGATATTGGTTGCACTTAACAGTACTTTAACGGTACACTTAAAAATGGTTAAGATGGACTGGGCATGGTGGCTCACGCCAGTAATCCCAGCACTTTGGGAGGCCAAGGCAGGTGGATTACTTGAGATCAGGAGTCAAGACCAGCCTGGCCAACATGGTGACACCCCATTTCTACTAAAAATACAAAAATTAGTCAGGTGTGGTGGTGAGCGCCTGTTATCCAAGCTACTCAGGAGGCTGAGACAGGAGAATTGCTTGACCTGGGAAGCAGAGGCTGTAGTGAGCCAAGATCATGCCACTGCACTCCAGCCTGGGCAACAACAGAGCAAGACTCCCATCTCAAAAAAAAAAAAAAAAGGTAAGATGATTGATCCTCTCTATACCTCACCAGATGGATTCTATTATTCTCTCCAGCCTGACTCTGGAATCCAAGAGAAAGGCAAAATTCTTTGGTTTATCTTTTGGTTCATCTCTTTCAAAATATCAGATGCCAGAATATTCCCACAGAATGTCCAAATCAAGAGAAGAGAAAAAGTAAATGTATGTTTCTGTAGTCAATTGTATTCACGTGGAGATATTTGTTTACAGCTTTAAATAGTGCTCAGAAAACCTCAACAAAGGAATGGGCATCTTACAAGTGTTTGTAAGTATGTAATTATGATACTCATCTTTTGAATATATTAAAGTTAGACATGTCCCCCTGAAAGTTTTGCTGCATGACAGTGAACTAAAAATATAACAGCTACAGCTACCATCTACTGAATGCTTGGTTTCATTTAACAAAAAATAAGTATTCTTAATTTTCTTAAAATAAAAGAGCTTCTGAAGTGGTGACTTCTGCATGTCTGAGGCTGGCATCACTTCACAGCACCCCTCCTTTCTCTTCTCTGCACGAGCCAGCCTTGGCTGTGTGACTACCGTCCCAGTCCAATCAGATGCAGAATAAAAAGGAAAAGGTTGATGATGTCTAAGTAGATGTTCAGGACAGCAAAAACATACTCTTCAGGGTCCAGGGAATAATGGTGGTGCCCTCCCAGCATGAGCTGCACATCCATCACCAAGTACTTGAAGAAAAGGAAGAATTAGCTACTTAAATTGTACATTTCTATGAAATAAGTATCCCAAATGATCTGGGAAAAAATGCTAGCATCAGGAGAAACGCTGTAGAAAGTCTATTTTGGGCTGAATATGTTCTTACAGCCTCAATCAGTCACTGGGTCGCCAAGTTTGTACTCTGTAAAAGCAGGTGCCTTACCTGAGCTGCAAGTCCCTTCTCCCCACTTGTCCCTATGTCTCATTCCAGAACCTTTGGAAGCAAAGAAAGCTAAGGTGGCCAATTATTCCAATTTGCCCAAGACTTTTGGATATTCTGGGAAACTCCTCAGTCCCAGGCAAACTGGGAAACTGGGAAAGTTGGTCACCCTTGTTAAAAAGGAAAAATAAAAAGTCCCAATGGCTGAGCATGCAGCTTTGCTCTTAGCCTCCATCTATCACCCTGTGGAGTCCCAGCTCCTATGGAGAAGTGGTTTTCTTTCCCTTCCCTCCCCAAATCTCTGACTTTAATTTATTGCTTCTTATAAGAGACTCTCAATCATTTCACAGACATGCATGGGATGTAGCTTCTCGGAAGAGGTTATGTGCTTGAGGGTAGACAGGAACATGGGAGAGTGAGAGGACCTTGATCCAGTGGTTCCCCACCCTGTCCAGGAGGAACAGGGCTCAGGATACCACCCAAGACACAACCAACCCACAGGGAAGCCCCAGCCAGGATTCAGATTCCTGTGAGCATTTCAGAATGAGGCACCTTGCCTCACCCTCATGCCCCCCAACTCTGATAGTTAAGCATCAGCGCACACACACCCCAAAATTCAGTTTCCTTCTCCAACAATTTGTTTGGTATTGGGTAGACCTGTTTGAGACAATAGTTCTTGCTCTGCCTGCAGACGGGAAACAGAAACATCAACATAATTTTGCATGGAAATGTCTGCAAGCATCAATACAGCAAGCATCAACACACAAAGTCTGAGAGTGTAGGAATAAAGGAAACTGAATGCAAGTAATTTCCCTTTATAATGGGAAAAGAAATGAGAAAACTGAAAGGTATATGCTTAACCTTGTCTACAGCCATACCACCCTGAACATGCTCGATCTTGTCTGATATATACATGCTTAACCTTAACCTCCTGGTGTGAATTTTTCTAACAATTGAAAGATATAACACAATTCCAACAACAAAAAGGAAGCAAAATGTGGATAGTTTTTAAGCTTTATGATAACATATGGGGTTCATTACACCATTCTCGATACTTCTGAATATGTTTAGAAATTTTCAAAATAAATAATATTAAAAAACAAAATCCCAGTGGGCACAGTGGCTCATGCCTATAATTCTGGCACTTTGGGAGTGCCAAGGCATGTTGGACTGCTTGAGTTCAAGAGTTTAAGATTAGCCTGGGCAACATAGCAGGACCTTGTCTCTACTAAAAATAAAAAATCAGCCAGGTGTGGTGGCATGTGCCTGTAGTCCCAGATACTGGAGAGGCTGAGCTGGGAGGATCGCTTGAGCCCAGGAGATAGGGCTGCGGTGAGCCATGATCATGCCACTGCACACCAGCCTGGGTGACAGAGCAAGACCCTGTCTCAAACAAACAAACAAACAACAACAAGACAACCCTGAAAGATGTGATATGATAAAAGCATGAAATGGAATTCCATGTAGCCCTTGAAAAAAATTAGTTGGACCCAGGTCTGCTAATAGGTGGAGGCCATTATTTTTAAGTGAAAAAGCAAAGGCAGGCCAGGCGTGGTGGCTCACGCCTGTAATCCCAGCACTTTGGGAGACCAAGGCGAGTGGATCACCTGGGGTCAGGAATTCAAGACCAGACTGGCCAACATGGCAAAACCCCATCTCTACTAAAAAATACAAAAATTAGCTGGGCACATTGGCATGCGCCTGTAATCCCAGCTATTGGGGAAGCTGAGGCAGGAGAATCACTTGAACCCAGGAGGCAGAGGTTGCAGTGAGCTGAGATTGCACCACTGCACTCCAGCCTGGCGACAAGTGAGACTCTGTCTCAAAAAAAAAAAAGCAAAGGTAGAACATTATGTATAGTATAGCTATGTTTGTGTAACAAGAAATGGTGCTTATATGTAAAAAAATTCTACAAAGATTCCAAGAAACTGTTAACAGTTGTTGCTTCTGGGGACAGGGGATAAGAGACAGATTTTAATTTTAATTTTATAATCTTCTATGTTGTTTGAATTTTGAAATATGTGCATGTATTACTTTTTAAATAAAACATTTCTTAAAATAATTTTAAAGCTATGACAGCAAGAGATGGGACTAAATGGAAGGAAAGACATTCCCAGATACATTAGCAGTGACCTCCACCGGTTCTCTAGGAGAAGTTTCTACAGTAAAAGAATAGAAGCTGGTCTGGAAGGAGAAACAAGAAAGAAACCACATCCCTGCTACAGTAAGTTTCAAAGCTTATAAATAACTCTTCATTCTTTTCTGAAATATTTACTTTTTTAACAAAAGGGGTGTTTTAGTGGATCCAGAAGACCATCTGGCTCTCCTGAGGGTAATGGTTTTAAATATGATCCTTTAGAAGGGAGCTGAAGAGTTTCCAGTGAATTACTAACCCCATGTGACTCCAGGCCTAGCACAAGGGCTTGTCAATGCACATACCACACTCTTTATCAAAGAGATGGAGCAATGGACTTACGAGTGAGAAGATCACAGTTCCGAGTCCAGCATACAATAGATGCAGCCACTGCAAAGAGAAATGATACAGTTGTATATTAAGAAAAAGATTTGGAATAATGAAAGGGCTTATGTAGGTCACTGCTTCCAGATAAGGAACCATTATTAAGAAAGCTGAATCTGTGGGGGAATTTATCTTTTCTTTTTTAAAATTAAATTTCATTTTATTTCAATAGCTTTTGGGGAACAGGTGCCTTTTGGTTACATAGATAAGCTCCTTAGTGGTGATTACTGAGATTTTGGTGCACCCGTCACCTGAGCAGTATATACTGTATCCAATATGTCGCCTTTTATCCCTCACACCCCTCCATCCTTCCCCTCAAGTCCCCAAAGTTCCTGATATCATTCTTAGTCAACAGCACCCAATTCTACTCCGTTCCAATATGCAAGCAAATAAAAACTAGGCTTGCACATGTCAAATAATATTCACCAAGTAAGTGCTAAACGTCTCATGTGTGGTAGGGCAAGTAGAATGTATTAGGTGTATTTCACTTTGTGCCCCATCTGCGTAGCCCTTCTAGAGAATCTGCCCTCCCCTCAGTTCATGGAGCAGGAAGCCTTGTGGTCATAGTGACCTTCACACATCCTGGCTAAAGCTGAGTGAAGAGCTGGTGGAAGACCCCAGCTCCAAAAATAGCGAGTCTGATGACTGATCAGAAACTTCTTATGTGTGAGTGGCCTTAGACAGATTCACCAGGCCAGCTGAAAGTCAATTCTCAGGATAGAGGGAACAAAGTAGCAGAGGCTGTTGTATCTTTAGCCCATGCTAGCACTGTTACTGCTATAAGCAGAAGTGGCTATTTAACTCAGCCACAAAGAGGAAGGCAGGGTTTTCTTTCCTGGGAACCCCAGTTCTTCTTCCCACCTAGGAGGTTCATGAGTTTCTTTGGCTCTTTGCCTCAAGCTAGTCTGAGTGGTATCTGTTCCTTGCAACAGAAACAGCCCTTGTCAGAATATGGAACTAGTCTAAATGCAAAATGGCTTGGTTCTATTGGGGAAGAGGATAAGGAAGTAGAGTACAGCATCTGAAAAAATACATGGCATTAATTCTTCAGGATGAGAAAGCTGGTTCTGAGAGGGGTAGGCAAAGCACTGCCAGCTTTCACCAAGGATAGGTTCTTGGTGAAGATGATCAGAAGCCAGTGACACAGTCTGGGAGACACAGTATTTCCAGATTGAGCAAATAGTAAGAAGACACCTGATCATTGGAGTCCAAAGATTTCAAAATTGCTAAAGTCCAACAAGCATGTAGACTTAGGGAATGGCTCCAGCAAAGTCTTCCATTTAAACACATGTGCAAAATTGTAGATATTTGTAAAAGAAAATTAAGAATGGGAACTAAGATCCATCTATCTAGTAAGAAACATAGTTTTTTAACTGCACCTAAGTTATACTGGAAAGAGCTACGGAACCCATCTAATATTTGCGTTATTACTACCAATATCTGTGCTACCATTAATAAATGAAGAGCTAGGGCCTTTTAAGGCCCATCTTTGTGAAGCCTTTGAGTTTATCTCTAAAGTGCAGGTGCCACCTTCCTGGCTGTAAGTCTATGTGGTCATTCATAACACTAAACCAATCCAGGAAGTACTGTTGATTCTATGTATTTCTGAAGATTGTGTAATTAGTCCACTTGTTGCCAAAGAAACTCCTTGGTTCAGCATTGGGACCAAGTTGGCCTTGAGGTTTTAGCCAAAAGTGTCCCAGGCCCCAGACTAGCTCTCAGTGGATCTGGCCTCCAACAGGGTCTCCACATAGGAGCCACTCACAGATTGCCAACACCAGGCCAGATCACACCTCTTGCTCTCTACAGATCTTCACAGTCAGTCCGCAGACCATGGAATGAGGTGGGAGGAGCATGGCCACTCAAGTCACCCTAACCTGGCCTCAATGCCACCCCAGCCACTCATTCCCTGTGGGATGTGGATGAATTATTTAATTTCTCCCAGTCTGTTTTCTTATCTATAAAATAGATGAGCTATGAACTTTTCAGGAATGTTGTCAGAATTGAATGTGATGGTTTGTGAAAAACACATAGGTCTATGTCCAATATCTAGTAAGAATTAATTAATTAATTAATTAATTCATTAATATATTAAAGCAAAAAAAAAAAAAAAAAAAAGCTAGATTGGAAAATAAGGAGCCTCCTTTAGGCTGCTATCGGAAAGGCCCAAACAAGCCTTTCTCTACCACTCCTTGTACTTCAAGCAGCACCCAAATATAGGAGAAGGAACCTGTCCTGCCCTTGTGGGTAGCCTCACCTCAAGAGCCTCTTGGGGAAGGACAACTGTCTAGGGTTGTAGCTCAATGTTCATGCACCAGAGCTTCTGTCCATGGTGCCTCCTAATGACCACAGTGGGGGCCATTAGAATCCGTCTCACAGATCTTCAGTTACGGGGACAGGAGAGGAACTGACCACAGGCGCAGCTGCTGTGCTGTGCAACCCACTGCACTCTGCACTTAGGCCACACTTCCCACTTCTCAGTCCTCGCTGGGAGCAGCAGGGCCCTTCCTGAGAGACATGGGACCACCCTCATGACTGACATTAGCTCTGGGACTTCCTGATGACCTTACTGAGCCTCCCTCAGACCATGCTACGTGTAGAATGCTCCCACCCAGCCTCCCCTCCCTCTCCCTCACTCGGGGCCTGATGTGTCATCATGGTCTGACAGCTTCCTCAGCTGTTGGCTCCCTGCCTCTTTTCTCTCAGAGGTATTTCTCCTACTGAAATCCTTGCATACTCATCTCCAGCTCCATGTCTGTTTCTCAGAGGACTCAGACGAATACACCCAGCACTTCATCTGTATGTTTAACAATTCTCTGAGGTTTCCCAGTAAGATCTCACTTACATATAATGGCACGAAGATTAAGATAATTCCATAGACTATAAGCACGAAGCAGAAAACGAACAGTCCTCCATTTAGCAAGGTAAAATCCCACTAAAAAACATAAACAGCATAAACAACTCAGTTATCATCTATAAGGAATTTTGGGATGTTTAAAGATGCATCGTATACCCCGTAGACAAAAAATGGCCCGTTGATAATAATTTACCCTGACCAATTCCAAGAACCATGGAAATTCATTAGCTCCAACCACTAAAAAATGCTACATAAAAAATATTACACTGACTGGGAGAAAAAGGTAGAAATGCCAGTAGCCATGAGTTGATAATTTTTGAAACTGGGTAATGAGTACCTGGGGGTTCATCACATTATTCTATTTTTGTACTTATATGAAATTTCCCACAAAAAAATACATTGAATAAGTAGGGTGTATATTTGAAGGTATAGGGTGATCATAAGCATTCATATGTTCAAAACCATGTACATAAGAAAACATTAATGGAGTAAAATATACCAAGATGTTAACTGGCTATCTTTTTCACATTTATATGCATGTTTTAATAAAAGCGTATAGTAAGCTTTCAAAAGTTACTGCTGATGATTCTTTTTTAATATGGAAACGTATTAATGTGGTTTTTGGTTTTGTCTTTATAAATCAGTGACCCAAATCAGCCTGAGGAGATTAAGGTTTTCTTTCTTTTTTATTTTTTTTCTTTAAGATGGAGTTTTGCTCTGTCGCCCAGGATGGAGTGCAGTGTCGTGATCTCCGCTCACTGCAACCTCTGCCTCCCAGGTTCAAGCAACTCTCCCACCTCAACCTCTTGCGTGGCTGGGATTACAGGGGGGCGCCACCACATTCAGCTAATTTTTTAGTAGAGGCGGGGTTTCACCATGTTGGTCAGGCTAGTCTCGAACTCCTGACCTTGCGATACATCTGCCTAGGCCTCCCAAAGTGCTGGGATTACAAATGTAAACCACTGCGCCCAGACAGATTAAGGTTTTCTTAAGAACGAGGATGTTGGCCAGACACGGTGGCTCATGCCTGTAATCCCAGAACTTTGGGAAGCCAAGGCAGGTGGATCCACTGAGGTCGGGAGTTTGAGACCAGCCTGACCTAAATGGAGAAACCCCATCTCTACTAAAAATACAAAATTAGCTGGGCGTGGTGGCGCATGCCTGTAATCCCAGCTACTCGAGAGGCTGAGGCAGGAGAATCGCTTGAACCTGGGAGGCGGAGGTTGCAGTGAGCCAAGATTATGCCATCACACTCTAGCCTGGGCAACAAGAGCAAAACCCCATCTCGAAAAAAAAAAAAAAGAATAAAGAAAAGAAAAAGGATGTTTATCTTCTGGCCTAAAAAACAATTAGATTATGCAGCCCAACAAGCGCCTTGAATCCAGTATATTTTCCTGCAGGAGTATTTTCCTAATTATTTTTTCCCCCTTTTCTCTCCACCCTTAATACACCAAGGGAATAATCCAAAGCACTAGTTCTCTGAGTGCAGTTCTCAGACCAGCAGCATCAGCACCACCTGGGAAATTCATATTTATCAGGCCCCACCCCAGACCTACTGATGCAGCCACTGCAGGGCAGTTGTGCCCTACAATCTGTGTCTCAACAAGGCCCCAGGCCGATTCTGGTGCATGATGAAGTTGGTCTAGAGCTGTGCTTTCACTACAGTAGCCACATGCAGCTGCTGAGCGCTTGAAATGTGACTGGTCTGAATTGAGATGTGCCGTTTAAGTGTAAAATACACAACTGGATATCGAATTTCAGCTCAAAAAAAAGTAAAATATCTCATTTATATTTGGGTTATGTGAATTATGTGTCAAAATGGTAACACTGCATTATATATGTATTGGGTTAACTAAAATATACTATCTAAAGAATTTCATCTGTCCCTTTTGACATTTTACTGTAGTTACAAGAAAATATAAGTTTATATGTATCACTTGCATTTGTGGCTCACATTATACTTCTCTTGGACAACCCAGGTCTGGGGAGCAGTAAATCTGGCTTGGGACAGTGATACCCTAAGGCTTGCTCCTTGTTGGCAGAAAGAAGATGTGACATCATTAAGGAAGGATAACTAAGGTGAGGTCAATTCAGGTGGGGAGCCCTGTCAGTTCTGACCACGCCCAAGAGAGAACAGGCTCCAAGTCAGGCCTGGGCTGGGCTGTCAGCTTCAGAGGCCCACAGAGCATGCAGTCACTCTGGGATCCAGGTGACAGTCATTCAGGAACAACGGTGGACCATAACATCCCCACCCCATCCTCACCCCATCCCCTTCTTGGCTCACACAAACCACAGCTTCATCCCAAATTCCCAAGCCCCACGTTAGAGAGAAAGTCAGGGAGACAGGGAGGCTGAACAGCTGAGCATTTTGTATCCACGTGAGACTATCACTCAGCCCAAAGGAACTGCTTCAATTGTGGGGTCCAATTGCATTTAAACCAAATGGATGTTTAGTTGATTTTCTCCCTGCTAAGTAGGCAGTTAGGGTTCATGAAAAAACTCAGACTCATTATGTTCCTACATCTCCTCTGCACCCCTTGGGCTGTGGTTGGACTGAATTTTGCCATCCCTATCATGTAACTTAATAAGGGGAAAAAATGTTACTGATCATGGGTTCAGCTGCCTTTCAAAGTTATCAATGCAAATACTGTGTTTAAAATACTTTCTGGCCGGGCACAGTGGCTCATGCTTTTAATCCTAGCACTTTGGAGGCAAGACAGGAGTATCACTTGAGGCTAGGAGTTCAAGAGCAGCCTGGGCAACATAGGGAGACCCCCTACTCTACAAAATATTTAAAAATTAGCCAGGTGTGGTGGCAAATGCCTATAGTCCCAGCCTCTTGGGAGGCTGAGATAGGAGGATCACTTAAGCCCTGGAGGTGGAGGCTGTAATGAGCCAAGTCTGTACCACTGCACTCCAGCCTGGGTGACAGAGCAAGACGCTATCTCAAAAATCAACAAACAGTACAATAAAATAAAATACTTTACAATATAATATTCACTCCCCTGAATTAATGGGCTTTTAAAAAAGTATTCTGGCAGTTTAGGGGATTTTAAATGGCTTAAAGAATCTGTGCATTCAACAGTGGCCCACCTTACTCATTGCAAGGAAGCCTATCTATTTACAAATAGGCTGGTTTCTACAAATGACCAGCTTTGAGATGGCAAATACTGATCTCATCATGAATTAAAGTTGAATCTCTAAATTTTGATACTGTTTGACTAAATATCTAGTAGATTCTTCTGTCACTCTGACACTTCTTCCTTTTTCCACCAGGAAAAGGCTAAAATTCTGCATAAGACCTTCCTTATGACGTGTGCCAAACAGCTTAGGAAATGCACTCCCGTCTGTGTAAGTTGTTTACCTAAGACCAGACCATCCTTTACAAAAGGAAATTGACCAGGACTGAAAGGAGGGGCCGCATCAGATCTCAAGAACACCCTATGGTTGGACAGAGGCTGAGATATCTCATAGTTCAACAGAAATCATCTCGAATTATGTAATATTCTCTGGGATGTCTTGGCATTTTGGAGTCTGGTAAACTACAACTTTAAAATTTTTTAATTCCCTGTATTGGTCAGGGTCCCAGCAAGAAACAGATGAGACACTCAAATAGGGTGATTTGAGGAGGGTTTGTTTGTAAGGAACTATCCACAGAAGTGTTTGCAGGCAACCAGAACAGGTAGTGCAGTAACCTAGGCTAGCAGCCAGCCAAAGAGCTTACCAGCCCCAGGCCCAAAGGGGAACGGAGAGGGGGCAGTTGTGGGAGCCCAGAAGGTTGTGTTGAGTTGGCCATTTTGCGACAGGCAGTGAATCTTGCTAAGGCATACCGCTAGCCCAAGAGGAACTTGTCACTGGGAGGAAGCCATGGGAATCAGTACCTCTCCCTTCCTGCCTCCTCTCTCCAGCTGGGACTCCCCATTGGCCAACGCCCATGGAAAGCCCTAATGCAAGAGGGCCCTGGAGGTGAGACCTCCCACTGACAGAGCAGGGGGAGACATAGGGAAGTGGGTTGGGGACAAAGGGACATGCCTGGCACACTCCCTTCAATAATACCTACTTTAGTTTGTAGAGCAAACAGAGTGAGTGCTAGTGTCACCAGAGCGGTTGCTGCTGTTGCCCATAACACTTCATTGGCCTTGTAGAAACTAAAGCGAGAGACTGTGATTACTGTTCACATACACTCCAAGAAAAGTACACACAAATCAAAGGAAATGTGTATCAAGGACTTACACTGATACGGCTCCTAGCAGCAGACCTTGAAGAACTGTCTAAAAACAAAATTCACAATAAATCAGAAGCCTGCTTCCCGAGGCATGGGGCCAAGGCCCAGAATCCAGAAGAGGTGATTTGAGGGGTGTGCTTCTGAGCAGAGTCTAGGGAGCAAGGGGGAACATGCACAGCCCTAGTGCACGCAGGCACAGGACGACCGACTATGGGGAATAAACAGAATTAAACATCTCTGTATCATCCTCTCTAGGACGGACAAGAGAAAATTATTAGTAAACCTTTCTTTGAACGCAATAGTAACTTTAACATATTCAGTGAAGTAAATACGTATTAATTATGAATGTAGAAACCAAGGTAAAAAAGGTTCGTTTGTAGAGCATATTGTCATTCATCAAATGGAGCCACCCACACAATATCAATGTTTCATCAGGACAGGATATGCGATTTCTAAGCTTCATAACACTTTGGGTACAGATGCTTTCCACGGCACCTGAGGGACAGCCTTCCAACCTCAGACATGGGATGAGAACCAAGGTTCCCAGGGCCTGGGAGATGGGACTGGAGGGCAGATACCGGCAGAGCAGAGTGTGGAGCTGCGCCTGCAGGTGCCAGCCCCCGGCTCTGGAGTACTCTCATCACCCAAAGGGAGCCAGGGGTGGGAAGAAAGGTGGGATGGGGCAGGGGCTGAGAGCCAGTGGGCAGTCAGGCTGGAGGATGAGGCCAAGAAAGGCATTGAGGTTGTGCTTAGGCCTCCACCGTCAGGCCCACAGACAGTGCACAGCCAAGGCATGAGGATGACAGAGCAGTGGCTGCAGGGCTGGAGACATGCCCAGCCTCAAGGCTGCTCTGCCCGAGGTGAATCCAGACACTGAGCTGACCCACTGGTCCACTGGCAGAGCCTGGAAAGACTCCTCCAGTTTCCAAGGTTAAAAATAAAGGTACGCCCTAGTGTGAGGCCTGCTAGAGGGGGATTTGAATTCCCACTGGCCAAGATGGCCGGGAGCAGAGGTGGGAGAGAAGTGGAGTCCCCAAAGTCCTGGGTCGCCCGTCTGGTGTTTCCAAACCCAGTGGGTAATCACCTGATCCTATGCTTTGTACAAATTAATGAAGTAGGCTGTCTCTATTTCCATTATAGAGAAAAGACTGTATCTAGTCTCTGTACAAATGGTATTTAACAATGTGCTTGCTTCAAACCTTCCTCTCCAGATGATTTTCTTCCTCTTGTATGGGATCAGTGGCTTCTTATTTCTCCAGCTCCAGCAGCACATGAAAGAGGTGTGCATGTATGTGGTGTGGGTAGTGTATGTGTGAGTTTGTGAGTGGGGTGCGTGTCCCTCTGTGTGTCTGTGTAATATGTGTGTGTGATCATGCATGTGTGTGTGGTGTATGAGTGGTGTGTGTAAATGTGTGGTGTATGTGACTGTGTGTGTGTATGTGGTGTGAGGGATGTGTGTGGTGTGAATGGTGTGAGGGTGTGGGTGTGTGACTGTTGGGTGTGTAAATGTGTGACTGTGTGTGTGTGTAGTTGGGAGAGACTGGGAGGAGATGGAGAGAGAGGAAGAGGAAATGTTTTCAGGCTGGAAAATGGCTTTTAGTTTTCAGGAGAGTGGAAGAGAGTAGGAAGAGGCCGTGGAAGTCACAACTCTGAAGGCTTCAAGAGCTCAGAACGTGGGCTTAAGGGGCCGAAATTCTATGGGAAAAAGCCGTGTCGGTGAATGTATTTTCCTTTTTCCCCTCAACTCCTTTTCTGAAGTGGGCTTTTCCCCACATATTTCCTAACCCTTGGGCATGACATTAAGTCTGGAAAACATAACTCATGCTTTGCCCCTGTATAATACCTCTCCTTTTAAGCCGTTACTTGCTTTGAGATTAACAGCAAAACCTCAGAGATGAGAGCTTCCTTGGAGACCAATAACTTTTACCTCTTGTAACAAACGTTAAGGCCATTTTAAATGTTTAGGTCAAAAACTCAAGCATTTCTGGGAAACCAGCACACCTTCCTGTCGCCCCCGCCCCCCGATTCCAGCCTCCGTCTGTCTTCCAGCTCGGCCCCGTTCTGAGTGTGATCTGTGCTGTCAGTGCAGGACACGCCACTGCTGGCCCAGCCAGTGAGCAGGGTACACACGCCAGCTAAGGAAGCCTCCTCCATGCGCTGGCAGGTAAGGAAATGTCCAGATGTGGGCAGCGGGCAGCCCGTCTTCTCCAGCCTCAGCAGGCAGCTATTCCTCCCAGCTTGCAAATCCCCAGGGTGGCTACGCGGTACTGATGCTGACAGTCGCGTGCTCTTGCTTGCTTTGACCACCAGGGGGCGCAGAACCAAATCTAGGCTCCAGACACATGCATAGGACTTGACGCATTTTGTGCACGAATCTAACCATTATCTTTATTTTTCTACCCTATTTTTCCTTCCATCAGATTTCTCCATTAATTTATCTTATATTCGTATATTACGGATATTTGTATAAGCCACCTCAAGTCTGTTTTGGAATCAGATGGATAATAAATCAACTGGTAAGTAAATCTTCCTGTGAAAGAATGCTAACACTGCTTGGGAAGAAATGCCAATCTTCCCAAAAAGAATATTTGCTGGCCGGGCGCGGTGGCTCATGCCTGTAATCTCAGCACTTTGGGAGACCGAGGCAGGTGGATCGCCTGAGTTCAGGAGTTCGAGACTAGCCTGGCCAACATAGTGGAACCCGGTCTCTACTAAAAATACAAAAATTAGCCAGCCATGGTGGGCAGGCGCCTGTAATACCAGCTACTCAGGAGGCTGAGGCAGGAGAATTGCTTGAACCTGGGAGGCGGAAGTTGCAGTAAGCCAAGATCGCCAAAAAAAAAAAAAAAAGAATTGTTTGCCGACACCCTCCTGAATCATACTGAGACGGTTCTGGGTCTCAGGGATCGCAGGGAGGAGCCCTGCGACCTCTGGGGAGCTAAGCCCTGGGTTGAAATGTGGGGAAACCGGTGGGAAATCGAGTTATATTCAAGTCTAGAAAAATTTAGGAGCTTCGGGTACCTGCTGAGGGTTGGCACGATCCTGCGTTTCTTGTGGGCAGCACTCAAAGGAATTGGCTGCTAAGAAAGTGAGCCCAGGGTGGCACCAAACGACAGAAAATGGGCAGATGTGGCGAGGCCTTGTGGGTGGAAGCCACCACCATGAGGCCGGTTCCAGGTAACCCGGAACCCGGGCCCAGGAACCCGGCCGCGGATAGATCAGGAGAGCCCTCTCAGCCCCTAACTCTGCAGTGCCGGAAAAGCCGTCCTGAGCTGAGACGCAAGCTATGGAAATGAGGGAGAAGCTAGCTCAGAGATGGGTTCTGCTCCCAGTGGGACTTGAAGAAGAAATAAAATACATTTTACAAAAATAAAGAAATACAAACTTCTTGCACACGACTTTGTGAACTAGACGTGGAACCCACTCTCCATAACAAAATGCATTTGCGCGTGAGAGGGGTCCGGCAACAGTCAAGTTAACTGTCCCCGAAAGTGCAGCCCAGACTTGGGAGTGCACACCCCAGGTGGCCTCATTAGAGGCAAGTGTGCCAGCACGAAGCCGCCCAGATCTCCAGATCCCCTAATTTACTCAAAGGGTGTGATACCGTCTCATAAGTTTACTACTTCATTACAAACAAAATTCCGCCAAGAGAATGTCCCACAAATAATTTCTATCTGTATTATTCCACTGAAAGAGTTTCCACAATAAAAGGAATAAATTTAATAATGTGACAAAAATGTATTTCAGAGATGAACTAGAGCAGGTGCTGACAAGGTTTACTTACAAATACTCCCAGGAGAATGTAATTTGCGGGGACCTGACGGCGGAGATTCCCGCAGCAAGCAAGCATAATAAACACGGCAAAAAATGCTGGGCTGGAGGATAATTGAAAACCACGTGTTATTTGCTTTCAGTGACTATATCATAGCGCATATTATACAGAGAGAAATATATAGATCCTAGTAACTATTACTATGACGTTACTTATCTCATAAGTATTATAGTATTAGAAACAAAAATATTAATTATTATTTTTGCCTTTTCTTAGCCTTTAAAATAACTTTTCTCATTTCTATGCACAGATAGCTTATGGGGCATTAAAATATTTTTATTTTAAAATAATTATAGATTCACAGTAAGTTGCAAAGGGAGAGGTCCCGTAAAACCTTCATTTAGTTTCCTGCAAATGGTTACATCTTATGTATTTATAGAACAGTACCAAATCCAGTAATTTGACATTGATACAGTGTATATATATAATTCTATGTCATCCAATTATGACACAAATCTATGTGCAGATGCATGTAACTGCCATTGCAATCAAGATTCAGAACTATCCCTTCAAAAAAACATGCATAAAGACCTCACTCATACTACCCCTGCCCTGTATAGTGTGAAAGTCACCAGTGCCAATATGGAGTCACTTAGGTCACACCCAAAGTGGAGCTGGAGGTCATGAAGGAGGGGATCTCCTGTATCTGAGATAAGAACTAGCCCAAAGACCTCCTTTTCAAAACCCACAAGAAATTTCTACATGTCCCACACATCCCTACATGTCCTGCCCACATGTCTATCACAGGGTGTATAACAAAAAATTCCTCAAGATAGTAACATTTCAGCCAAGTTGCTCTCACAAAAACACTTGCCTGGCAATGGCTGTCTCCACCAATGAGTTAGCACTAGCTCCTGCAAGAAGCCCCTGTAACCAATGATCTTTGTTTCAAAATGATTTAGGTAGATCTCTCTTTGCCTTTTAAAGGTTTCCTCTTATCCCAACCTCTCCATCATCCATCGTGGCTTCCTGTATCGCCTATTGCAGTGCCCCTGCCACTTCCTATTACACTCTGCAGGGAGCCTCTCTCTCTGTCATTAATTTAGGTGGTAACACCCACACCCATACACTCAACCCTAACTCCTGGCAGCCATTAATTTGTTTATTTTTCATCCCTATAATTTTATCATTTCAAGAATGTTATACTTCGTACCTCATTTTGAACAGTAAAAGAATCTCAGGCAATACACAGTAGAAAAATACATTGTATTAAGTCCAATGATACTTACAAGATTAAATAGATGAACCAGGGGGTATTGACCACCCAAACTTTTAAAGCCTTCCTGGTTAAAAAAAAATTTAATACAGTTTTACACGATAAATATTTTGCTAATTAATATGATATTTAAGAAGAAGTAAAATAAAGCAATATCATGAGAAAAAAGGAAGAAACCCTGACTGACGAATAATGACAGATGGAGAATGAAACAATGAAACATTGTTTTTCTTAAAATAGATATATTCATAATAAGTTATAAGTAAAATTTGGATGAATGTAAATGTCCTAATAAAGGTTTTTATTTTAAAAGTACTGAGATTGGTATGTGTACAAAGCAAAAAAAATCAACTTCTCATCTGTTGTTTCATAAATACAGATTTTCATAGGGTATGTTTAAGCAGTGATAGATCATAGTCCCTCAAATAATTTCTTTTTGTTTTTTAGAGACAGGGTCTTGCTCTGTTGCCCAGGCTGGAGTGCAGTGGCACAATGATGGCTCACTGCAGCCTTGAACTCATGAGCTTAAGCCATCTCTTGTCTCAATCTCTTAAATAGCTGGGAGTACAGGCATGTGCCACCACATCTGGTTAATTTTTACTTTTATTTTTTGTAGAGATGGGGGTCTCACTATGTTGCCCAGGTTGGTCTCAAACTCCTGGCCTCAGGCAATCCTCCCACCTCAGCCTCCCAAAGTGCTGGGATTACAGGTGTGAATCACTGCACTAAGCCCCTCAAATAATTTCTGAATTTAACACTGTTCCAGCTTCCAAGGTAATCTCACCTTTATTTATTATTATTTTTTCCTTGAGATAGAGTCTCACTCTATTGCACAGGCTGGAGTGTAGTAGTTTAATCTTAGCTTATTACAACCTCCACCTCTGGAGTTCAAGTGATTCTCCTGCCTCAGCCTCCTGAGCTAATTTTTGTATTTTTAGTAGAGATGGGGTTTCCCTATTTTGGCCAGGCTGGTCTCAAACTTCTGACCTCAAGTGATTCACCTGCCTCAGCCTCCCAAAGTGCTGGGATAATAGACATGAGCCACCACACCCAGCTCACCTTTTCTTCTCAATCCAATTTTCATTGTGGAAATAGCTTGAGAGAAAATTAAAAAACAAAACAAAACAAAAAAACAGTGTCCAAAATAAGACGTTTTAAAAAGTTCTTTTGCTTTGATTAGGAAGTTAAATTCTAGAAATCTACCACCACGTTGGTCTAGGAGTTGCCTCAGAAAAACAAAACTATAAACTATTTTTAAATGATCAAAATTAAATTAACCTGATTCAGTAAGAATTAATGTGAACAACCTAACACGTAATTCTACATCAGTCATAAAGACTTACCAGAAAATGAACACACTGGTAATTATCACAGTGATCACCAACTGAACTGACAGGATGAGGAACACTTTGATAATGAAAGCTGAGGAGACACAAACATTATTTTTATGATGTAATAGTCAAAAGCAACAACATAAATGTAATAACCTATTTTTGAAATTTAATGAAAGGAATTTTTTTCTTTGCTTTTTTTTGGGATGGGAAAGGCAGTGCTAGTTTACAGTCAGCAAATGGAATAACAAAAACGCAGCTCTAACTTTTACAGCACGCTCATTCCAGATGGTGGGACAGAGGTGTTTTATGGGCGATCTGACGGTTTATCTATGGGAGCTCCAGAATTTTCTTTTTTCTTTTCTTTCTTTCTTTTTTTTTTTAAACAGAGTTGCTGTCTGTTGCCCAGGCTGGAGTGGAGTGGCTCGATCTCAACTCACTACAACCTCTACCTCCTGGGTTCAACCACTTCTCATGCCTCAGCCTCCTGAATAGCTAAGATTACCACAACCCCCAGGTAATTTTCTTTTCTTTTCTTTCTTTTTTTTTTTTTTGTATTTTTTAAGTAGAGATGGGGTTTCACCATATTGCCCAGGGTGGTCTCAAACTTCTGATCTCAGGCGATCCGCCTGCCTTGGCCTCCCAAAATGCTGGAATTACAGGCATGAGCCACCATGCCTGGCCAAACTCCGGAATTTTCAAGATGAACTCAGGAATTTAATTCCTTGTCATGCACACCCCATCCTCCTTAGGATCAAACATGACCTGAAAGCTTCACCATGTCACAGGCCATCATTAGGGATATGGCAACACTACCTCCCTATACCAGAGAGCAGCAGCACCTCAGGACTGTGGGGATAGGGTGCATCTCCCTGGAGATGGACTTGGGCTGCAGAGAGTTTGTGGCACTTTTCTGCCACTTTTCTCTCCAGCCTACCTGCCTGTAATAACTCTCTTCCCTTCTACTTCCTAATGCAGAAACTAGATAACTTGTGGAGCTGTATGTAAGACCAAAGAGTTCCAAGGGAATGACAGGCCAACACACAAGGCAAAGCACGTGGGCACCTCTTTCTGCTCACTTCCTGCACCCTCTGAATATGGCACTGGCAATGGCAATTTGCCTTTGTGTGGCTTTACCCTAATTTCAAAGGAAAAAAAAAAAGTAATGCTGCTTAAAATTTCCTTATAGACTCACCAACTGTCCTTTTGCTGGGCAGTTTCTATGCATAGAAGTATGACAACAATGCAGTGGGACACAGCAGTCTTAATAAACATACCAAGGCCGGGCGCGGTGGCTCAAGCCTGTAATCCCAGCACTTTGGGAGGCCGAGGCAGGTGGATCACGAGGTCAAGAGATCGAGACCATCCTGGTCAACATGGTGAAACCCCGTCTCTACTAAAAATACAAAAATTAGCTGGGCATGGTGGCATGTGCCTGTAATCCCAGCTACTCAGGAGGCTGAGGCAGGAGAATTGCCTGAACCCAGGAGGCGGAGGTTGCGATGAGCCGAGATCGCGCCATTGCACTCCAGCCTGGGTAACATAAGTGAAACTCCGTCTCAAAAATAAATAAATAAATAAACATACCAGAACATCTATTTCCAAGTGCATGCTGCCGACATTAAAATATTCATTTAGCTCTTATTAATTTTGCATCTGCTATGTAGCAGGGACTGTGGGGGAACAAATATTAAATGTGGCCCAGGCTCATAAGAACAGACATAGACATCAATAGCATCAAGGTGACAATCAAGAAATAAACCCTTATATTTATGGTCAATTGATTTTTAACAAACGTGCCAGGAAAATTCAATGGAGAAAGAATAATCATTTTGACAAATGGTGCTGGGAAGACTGGATATACACCTACAGAAGATGAATTTGGATCCCCAACTAACACCCAACTGCAAGCCATAACATGGAGTCATAATGGGCATAGCAGCCTCAGCTACCATTTCCTTGTAAGTAAATGAGAGCTCCCAATTCAAGACCAGCACAAGAGGTGCCCAACTGAGTCAGCCCAAGAATTATGAAATGGTTGTTGCTTTCTTTATGTGGGCAAAGGATTTGAGTAGACATTCCTCCAAAGAAGACATGTGAATGAAAATTCACTAATGAAATACAACTCAAAACTACAATGAGATGCTACTTCACAAACACTAGAATGACTATAACCAAAAAGACAGACTATAATAAGTTTTGGCCAGGATGCAGAGAAGCAGGAACCCTCATACATTGCTGCTTGGAATGTAAAATGGTGCAGCCACTTTGGAAAAGGTTGGCAGTTCATCAAAATGTGAAACACAGAGTTATTCTATAGTTCAGCAATTCCTGGGTATCTACCCAAGAGAAATGAAAACATATGTCTACACAAAAACTTGAATATGAATGTTGATTGCAGCATTATTCAAAATAACCCAAAGGTGGAAACAATCTAATTATCTGTCAACTGATAAATGTATAAACAAAATGTTTTCTCTCCAGGCAATTGAATTGTATATGGCCCGTTCATAAAAGGAATGAAATACTGACACATGCTACAACGTGGGAGAACCTCAAAAACATTAAGTGAAAGAAGGAAATCACAAAAGGCCACATGTGGTATGATTCCATTTACATGAAATGTTCAAAATAGATTCATAGAGAGGTCTGAAAGTAGATTAATAGTTGGCAGGGGCTCGGGGGAGGGAGGATGGGAGTAACTGCCAATGGGTATGGGTTTCTTTTCTTTTCTTTCCTTTGGTAGAGACAGGGTTTCAGCATGCTGCCCAGATTGGTCTCAAACTCCTAACCTTAAGTGATCTGCCTGCCTCAACCTCCCAAAGTGCTGGGATTACAGACATGAGCCACCACGCCCAGCCTGGGTATGGGTTTCTGTTTGAGGTGATGAAAAGTTTCTAAAATTGATTGTGATGGTTATCAACTCTAAATATACTAAATACCAGTGAATTATACACTGAAAATGGATGAATTTTATGATTTGCAAATTATATCTCCATAATGCTGCTTTAAAAAATTACAACCCCTGTAACTCAATCCATTACCCTGCTATTCTTTTCCTTCTCTCCACAGCACTTTCATCTTCTCATATACTACATAATTGTTTTAAATGGGAAAAGGGCCAGCCTCTGCCCTCCAGGAGAGGCAGACATAAATAACTGACTCTTACACTGGCAAGGAGGCTCTACATATTTTTGAATTAGACCTGAAAGACTAATTCAATTAGACTCCTTAAGCCTCATTTTCTTGTCTGTAAAATGGCAGTACAGCTTCTGTGTTGGTCAGGTTGTTGTAAAGATGAAAAGCAATAATGTCGCCCTTGCACAAAGCGCTGTGTAAGCCAGGTATTGGTTGCAGAGACCCCCCAGGTGCTTAGCAACACCCAGTATCCCTGGCTTCCTCACTATCTGACCCATATCTTGTTAAGGATGGCAATGGGCCCAACTGAACAACTCCAGATGGAGGTGGCCATGTAACACAGGTGAGTCAATGGCATGGCATTCCAAACTCTGGGTGTGGTTTCTAGAAATGCCTCTGAAAAGAAGACTGGCTTGGTTGACTCTCAGGATACCTGCAGCCCTCTCTTGGCTCTTCTTTGCCTTTGGCTGTCTGCCTTTTCCTTTTCCTACTTCAAAGGCTAGAGCTCCAAAAGGCAGCTTTCCAGCCACAGAAGCTGGTGGTGAGGGACGCAGGGAGACCAATAGAATTCCGAACTCACAATCCACTTGCAATGTTCAGGCCTCAGAAGGCCTAAGGATGGCAGAGTGGACACTTTAAAGCTTAAGCCAATATTATGTATCACCTCAGATACAAGTAAAAACATTTTATGATCCACAACTAATTCATATTTCCTTAAAAAAAAAACCCAAAA